GAGGAGGAGGAGGAGGAATGCGGGAGGAGGAGGAGGAGGAAGAATTTGGGATTTCGGGTTGGGGGTTGGGGAGGTCTGGCAGGCAGACAAGGACGGGCCGCCCTTGGACCCCGTCCGGGCCATCGAGGACACGTTCTACCTCATTCGGGGAACCAGCAGGGGTACACGCACTGACCTTTCAAGAGGCCCGCGCGGCTTCCTTGCATCGGCGCTCGAGTTCCCTTGGCGGCGTCCCCGGCGCCGCCCCCGGCGCGCGGAGCGCGCGCCAGAGCAGGGGCGCCAGCGCCGATCCAGGGAGTCCGCGCGGACCTCCGAACGTTCATGCTCGTGCCACTGCCTGTTCCCCGGCCCGTGGAGCGCCGCATGCGCCAGCGGGCCTTCCACGGCAAGAAGGGCGCGAAGGGCCTCACGAGGACCCTGCTGGACGTGGGCCTCCTCCTCGTGCCCTTCGTCGTCTTCTCGGACCTGATCCGCTTCAGCCCCCAGCACACGTGGGGCTTCGTCGCCCCCACGGTGGTCACCGTGTGGATCGTCTCCGTCAACCTTTGGATGACGGCGAAAAGTCCAGAGCATATCGAAGGCGCCTACGGCGAATCACCGCCGCCCTCCGCCGTTTTGGATGCGCCTCTGTGGCCGCACGTTGTGGCCATGGCTCGGCGAAGCAATGGGACTAACTGTTCCTCAAGCCGTTGTGGAACCTCTTCGGGGAACACGTGAGGAAGGACACTTAGCCATACTACCAACCATAATCATCGTACAAAACATACTTCACGCAATACTTTTACCAACCACAGAGCCATACGCATTATAGTATGAAGGGTGACATTAATAATACTACGAATGGCATTATCAATGATAATGAGAATGATCGTGCTAAATGATAAGGATGAGACGGATGCCAAGGAAACTCGTGTCAAGACGATAATGAATGATAATCGTAACTAGTAATAGTACTAGTAACGATGATGTTGGTGATGATGCTGATACAGATGCTGATGCTGATGCTGATGATGCTGATGATGCTGATGATCTTGATGCTGATGCTGACGCTGACGATGATGATGATGATGATGATGATGATGATGATGATGATGATGATGATGATGATGATGATGATGCTGATGATGATGATGATGCAGATGCAGATGCTGATGCTGCTGATGATGGTGATGATGCTGATGATGACGATGGTGATGATGGTGATGATGCTGATGATGCTGCTGCTGAAGATAATGATTCTGATGATGATGATGTTGCTGCTGCTGATGATGCTGATGATGCTGATGATGAATATGCGAACGAGAAGAAGACGGGGTGAAGGAGAAAAGAGGAGGAGGCTGTTTGGGAGCCTATTGGGGCACTCTTGGGCTCTCCCCAGAGCTGCCTGGGTCCTTTTGGACGCCTCTGGTGTGAAGTTGACCATGTCTGTGGCCTAGCAAGAAACGCAGGAGCAGTATGTTTCGCGCATTGATCCTTCCTGCAGGGTAAGTGGAGATGTCCTATTACTTTGCATGTCTTCTATGCCGACGCCATCTGCTCTCTCAAACAATTCAGGGGATCCCCTTTTAAACCTCAAACTATCAGCACATATACGGTTCAGACGTGCACCAGATCAAGATTTGGGGTTTCCCGGTTGTATACATGCTGCGCATTCCCGAGACATTCTGGCCTCTTTCCATATCGCTCGATGTCCCGGATCTTATTTGCAATGATACCGAAGCAGTTCAACGTCAACACTAGCAACATTGGCAGTGCGGAGCTGTGAGTTCGGAGACGGCCTATGCTATTGCATTGGTTCATTCTCCTCACATGTCATATCAAGACCTGTTTCTCGCGATCAGGCGCTACATGTCTTTGCGACGGCGTACCCCATCAAACAAATCTGTCTCTACAGCATCACCTACAACAGTAAGTCGCTCAGCAGGGGCAGAAAACAAAGGGTCTACATCAGGATGTTTGGGCCGATGCGGGCGGCGCACCCAACTACGACGGGGACGCAGCAGCAGCAGAAGAGTAGGACGAACGTGTGCGACTTTGATTTCTCGGATAGGACACGGTGGAAACAAACGGGCATCCGTTGCTAAAATTCGAACTGGTTTGACGGATAGGGCGTGGACACAGTGGTGGACATGATGCCGTCGAGGCGAACCAATGTCACTTTCCAGTCTTGGCAAATGAGGAATGGCAGGACCGAGCCAAGCAGACACAGAAACAGGCGTGGAGCAGACGCTGGGTATACGAGTGAAAGCGTCACGAGCTCGCTGTGAGAAGTGGCCCCGCTGTGAAGACGTAGGGCCTTTCTGCGCGATTTCTGGCGTGAACATAGATAACCCAACGAAGCCATCAAGGATTTCATACAGCGACGTGCTCAGGATGGCGAGAAGCTGCGCGACCTCACTGGCGGTAGTACACAAGTTCCAGAAGATAATCGGACGCTTTTCCTATGGATCTGTGCGGCATCATCGACGAGCAGCGCGCGTTTCCCCCCCCCCCCCCGGTCAAGTCTCAAGCGAGCACGGTCGGGAGCCTCGAGACGGGGGTCAATACAAACAGGGGTCAGCCAGGGCACCAGATTTTGCAGGATCCTGCGAAGACCCCCTCTGGCTGACCCGGGTTAGGGAGCCGCTCGTGGCCGCGAGGCGGCCGCGCATATTGGCTGACTCGGGTTTGCGAAGACCTGCGTTGCAGTTTTTCCTTCCTGCATTGCAGTTTTTAGGTTTCTTGCTGACCCGGGTCTGGATTGACCCGGGCCAGAAGATCCCCGACACGGCGGGGGCGCAATATGGGACGTGTTGGAGATTCAGCTCGCTCGACAGCGGGGACAGCGAACCACAGCAGCGACAAGGATGTGGACGTCGTTCCCGGTGGAAGTCAGCTGTCGACGCCGAGCCGAGCGAAGGTAATTATCAAGGGGGCAGTGAAAACGGGGATGGCGGTAACTGCGGAAAGGACGGTGCAGATATGCAACCATTCTCAGCAGAACCCGAGGATCCCGAGACAACGATGGCGATCGTGGGCGTAAGCGGCATGAATGAAAAGAGCAGCCAAACGTTTGCAGCGGGGGCTCAGAAGGTGGCTGGATTTATCTCAGCGAAAGTTCGCGGCAAAGGCAAGGAGGGGTTCGATTGCACAGGGCAGTACCAAGTCATATAGGATGGCAAAACCAACTCAGGATTTCAACGAGGTAAGACCTACGTCGACCTTGGCGGCAATATCAGCTTCGACACCGACTATCTTCAAGATCGTTGCAGCCGCTGCGCCTGCAGCGAGATTTGCCGTTGGGCAGTTGACGCTTGTTCACAGACAAAGTTGGTGACTTCGTCGGTTAAAAAACGTGGGCGAGGCAAAGGACGGGCTGGGGGGTTTCTGGCTCGCGCTGGGTTGGCAGCGGCCATGCAGGCCACGCGAGTCGGCCGCGCGGTGGAGGTCGACGCGATCGACCTGGTCGCGGCTGCCAAGTGCGGCGACATGATCGACGGCGTGGTGGAAGACCCAGTTGTACCTCCAGGCTTTGTAGTGCTGGATGCGGCAGCGCTTGCGCCATGCGCTGGCGATAGACGCTTGCTGCGACGATCGTCGAGGGGATCGGCGCGTCGGCGCCGATCGAGGCAGGGGGCGAGCTTTTTTTGAGCGGCTTTCAGGTTCAGACGCCCCCATGCTCGTGGGTCTTGATCAGTTGGGCGCTCAAGGCGCGGTCATCGACGCGAGGGGCATGCAGGTCGTCTGCAGGGAGCTGCCAGACCAACCTGCGAAGGCCGCGCGGTCTCGGAAGAGCCGCTGGATGACCGGCGTCGACGATTTCCCCGATGGACCTCGACGCGCTGATGCGCAGGTGTCAGCGCCCAGTCTCTCATCGCGCGGGCGGCCGAGCTGTGGCGGGCCACCTCGCGGGCCAACGTTGCCTTCGAGTAGATTCGGGCCATGTCGGGAGACGGCGCCGTCGTGGCCAGGTCTCGTAACGTGATGGTCGCGACTTGGTCTCGGACGCGCCCGAGGAGCGGAATGCTACGCGGAGCGTGCTTCGCAGCGAGACCTAGCCCTCTGCGCGCGCCCGGGGCGGTCGCGACGGGGGCTGGCGGGGGCTGGCGCCAAGACGACGAGGCGGCAGCATCGGCTGCGACGAGGGAGCTCGAGAAGGAGAACCTCGATCTCACCGACGTGCTGCTCCTGTGCGAGAGCCCTTTGCCGCGGCGTGCAAAATTGCCCCCCTCGAAAGGGGGGCGTCGTCGGCTGGCGGCGCCGCCGGCGCGCGTCTGGTCTGCGCTGCAGGTGGCCGAGCATCGAATGGGCGCTGGTCAGCGTGTTCTCCTGGAGAAGTCTGTGCTCCAACGGGTGTGGATCATCGTCGACGCGGCCAGAGCAGATATGGGCACGAGGTGGCCAGGGCGCATTCGAACTTCGAGAGGATCGTGGAGATTTGCTCGTGAACTTACGAGATTTCTTACGTGGGCAGTGGCATTGGCATGTGCCTTCGAGGTTCGGCGCTCTCGAGATCACGCCCATGGTCAAGTTCACGGGGGAGGTGGGCAATCGCGCGACGCTGCCGCGTGGGCGCCTGGAATTGCAGAGGTTATACTCGAAGGAACGAATCAGCAATGCGAGTTGGGGAAATTACAGGGAAGTGATACTTTCCTGGGAGTTCCACGCGGTGCCGACGCATGCCCCGCTTCAGGTTTCATGTCATGATCAGTACTGATCATGGTCTGATCCAGAGACCTACGACAGTTGGCAGCAGGTGCCAGCGGTGCTCAACGCAGCGATCAAGACGTCGCATGTTCAGTTGGCAAATGCGCTACGAGGCGAAGATCTGGTTAAGCCTACTTGAACAGGCTGTGGACCACCAGCCGCCATTTCAGCAGCCAGGTTGTTCAAGGGCGAGCTCTGCGACTCACGTGGTAGACCGCAGCTCACCCTGTAGCCAATGTGTCGAGGTGGCTCACGTGCAACCGGCGCCTCGGTATGGACGTCGCTTGCGTGCTCGACCTCAGCGGCAGCGCGCTCGCCTGCGTGGTTATGGCTGACCTTGCTGCCGATTGCTGCGTCATTCAGTGGATGATGAGTGGGAGGCCGTAAGCCAGGCCCCGCGTCGCAGCGTGCCGTGGCGGCGTCGGTGGAGTTCCCGCGGGCGGGTCTCCTCGTGCCGCGTCGTCTCCAGGTCGTCAAGATAGGTCGATCAAGAGGCAGCTCTCGGGTTCAAATTTGAAGTTCTGCGCGAAGACCTCGGGGCGCCCAGTGCTCCGATGGCCCCTGAGGGACGCCGTCGACATGGCAGGGTGGAAAGGGGGCCTCGTGCCTTCTAGGAGACGTCTAGGCAGGTTTTCGGGGGCCTCGAGGTGAAAGCGACGAGGGCGCGCGCTTTTTGCAGCAAATCAGACTTTCCCGGACTGCGAAGCGACTGTCAAACGACAAGAACTCTTTTCCAGCGCAGTGGGTAGATGGCTAGAACCCTTCCGTGCCAGCGTCCTTGGGCGACCTCGGTGCCAACCCGGTGATTGCCGGGCAGACTGCCGACGGGTCACTCATGCGTCGTTGAATTCATTTCCAAGAAGTGCGCGAAGTGGAACTCCGC